AACTTACACTGGTATATAACGACAACCTAGAAAACTTACACTGGTATATAACGACAACTTAGAAACTTACACTGGTATATAACGACAACCTAGAAAACTTACACTGGTATATAACGACAACTTAGAAACTTACACTGGTATATAACGACAACCTAGAAAACTGACACTGGTATATAACGACAACTCAGAAAACTTACACTGGTATATAATACAACCTAGAAAACTTACACTGGTATATAACGACAACCTAGAAAACTGACACTGGTATATAACGACAACTCAGAAAACTTACACTGGTATATAAATACAACCTAGAAAACTTACACTGGTATATAACGACAACCTAGAGAACTTACACTGGTATATAACGACAACCTAGAAAACTTACACTGGTATATTCAGAAACAGAAACATTGGAGATCTTTATCAATTATGTCAGAAGACTAAAACTGACATTTGGTACTAACAGAAAAACTTGACATGGTCAAGAGGTCGAAAAGTGACGTTTGGTACCAACAGAAAAAACTTGACGAGGCCAGAAGACTAAAACTGACATTTGGTACCAACAGAAAAACTTGACATGATCAAGAGGTCAAAGTGACGTTTGGTGCCTGAAAAAAAACTTGACAAGGCCAGAAGGCTAAATATGACATTTGGTACCAACAGAAAAGCTAGACAAGGCCAAAAGATTAAAACTGACATTTGGTATCAACAGAAAAACTTGACATGATCAAGAGGTCGAAAGTGACGTTTGGTGCCTTCAGAAAAACTTGACAAGGCCAGAAGGCTAAATATGACTTTTGGTACCAATAGAAAAGCTAGACATGGCCAAGAGGTCAAAAGTGATGTTTGGTGCCTGCAAAAAAAACTTGACAAGGCCAGAAGGCTAAATATGACATTTGGTACCAACAGAAAAGTTAGACAAGGCCAAAAGATTAAAACTGACATTTGGTATCAACAGAAAAACTTGACATGATCAAGAGGTCGAAAGTGACGTTTGGTGCCTTCAGAAAAACTTGACAAGGCCAGAAGGCTAAGTATGACTTTTGGTACCAATAGAAAAGCTAGACATGGCCAAGAGGTCAAAAGTGATGTTTGGTGCCTGCAAAAGACTTGACAAGGTCAGAAGGCTAAAACTGATGTTCGGTTCCAACAGAAAAGCTCAACATGAACAGGAGGCCAAAATTGTCGTTTAGTGCCCGCAGAAAAACTCGACATGGTCAAGAGGTCAAAAGTGACTTTCGGTGCCAGCAGAAAGGCTCACGTGGAATAATTTTTCAAATACATTTATTAATTTTTTTGCACAAGCCCATCAGCGGACTTTCGCGCATGCGTTATTTATATTGTTGCTGTTCTTAAATAAATGCAGTTCACACCGAATCTCTCATAATAAATCATATAAATTATTCCCGCTGCATACGTAGCCATGATATTAGAAACGAAGTTTGAAACATTGATATTAAACAAATAAATCGAAAAATAAGGGCTAGGAAGAAAATTAAGGAAATACAGCATGTAACTGGTGGCGATTTGGGGTATGAAAAATGCTCATTAAGTTGCAGTTGTTTTTTAGCTTTCATCTGCGTTACTTGCTATATTTTATTGTTTACTAACAATGCAGATTTTAATAGCAAAGAATATACGTGTCTGTTAAGTTACAACGAATAAATAATCTGGATAATAGCAATCGGAGAATGAATTTCGTCTACTAAAGAAGTCAGCACATAACAGAAAGCTATCAACTCTGTGGTAGTTTCAGGTAAAACTAATTTCCCCCTAATAGTGACAAGTCCGCCAAATAACAGGGGATTGTTTATGATATTTACTACAACACAATTCTGTATCTTCTGACTAACCGAGTTCATGACAAATAAAGAGAGAGACTGAACACAAATTGATAATCAGAATAAAACAGTTTTTGTTAAAAACAAATACAGCGAAAATGTGTATTTTACTTACCACATCAAACAGTTTTCTCTAATGGAGAACGAAGTTTGAAGATGTACATCTGCTGGTGATCTCCTGTTCCGGACTGAACAATTCTCCCGCTACCTACTTAAATATCACATTTACCGAGAGCGACTAGCGGTATTCACGTGACTGTCCGTTCCAAATGAAATATGAGAACATACCTCACTGCCAGTATAGTTTCATACTACGAATGATTTTACAATCATCTTGACACGAGAATACAAAAAGTACTAGTGTAGGTGACTAATACAGGACAATAA